CGTATTTTTTTTTACCGACCTCAAAAAAAGTTATCGTGCGATTAATTGATTTATTGACTATCGCGACAGGCCTAGTGTAACTATTGAATTCAGACTTCAGCAATTAACATATTTCTTCCAGATTCAATGATTCTAGAAAAAATCAATCAAACCTGGAAAGTCTCGCTCTGATACTTCTTTTTTTTTTTTTTACAAAGTAGAGAAATTCAGAATGTTGTTGACAAATCCCAATTCTCATGTGTCACGAGCATAGTGCAGAGTGGAAGTGACATTCAGGTCCGTGTCTCTGAATGATAATGTGACAGATAGTGGTGCTCCTGTCAAACCGGGATCAACTCAACCAGAGTGAGCCAGTCGAGCATTCAGGCCACTGGAAGCGTCTTCGGTCTATTGACACCCCCGCCTCACACACTCTCACACTCTACCACCCGCCGTCCCCCGCACCCGATACCAATCCTGTCTTGGTGACCTTAACAACCCGTAGCTCCTGCACACAGGGCTCCTCGTGCTGCCAGACAGCCTCCTAACAATCACCCTGTCAGTCCTCAGCCACAGTCCTCTCTGCTAGAGAATCAGTTTTGCATTCTGTATCTGCAGGAGTTCTTAAACAATAAGAACAAGTTACAGTTTGTAACAGATTTAGTGTTATCTACAGGCTTTAGGAGCAAATTCAAGTAAAGTCAAAGTCTCTTCTCACACTTCGTAGTCCATGACAGTGAAGTCAAAACATTGGGATAGCTGTCGTGCATGTTATAATAGTTCACTCTTGGGTTTTATCATTATTGATTTTATTCAGAAATAAAACAAAACAACAGTGTTTGCATCAACATAGTCCAACTCGTCCTTTAATTTTGCTTTATTAAAGTCACAGTAGTGTTAATATATTTCTTATCTCTCACACAATACAGTCTCCTTCCACACCTCCTTGTATTATTAAAAAACTCTTGGTGAGTTTCAATCTTCTGCTTATTTGTGCTAACTTCGAGACCTCTGTGTTTTTTATTTTTTGTCAGAATCATCTAGCATCAAATCCCTCCCCAATCTGAGCAAACTTTGGCTGCTTCTCGCTGAAGCGAGAGGCACCAGATCAACCCCCCTCTGGCACAGCAGCTCGCGTTTCCTCCAACACTCGGCTGTGTGTCCTGCCGGAGGTCAGCTGGACACACAGCCGAGAGCTGCACGTGTAAACTGTCTCTGACGGATCATTTTACATGTGGAAGCTGATGAATTCAAGGCAGAGGCATCTTGTATGGTAGTTTAGTCAAATTTCTTTTTTAAACCCTTAAAAAGGTGGTCAACAAATTTTCATGGCCATTTATTAGTTCAGACTTGTGTGTCTGTTAACATGCGTATATGTAAATAAAGGCAGCTATATTGTGAATTTAGTTGTGTGAATACAGTCTGTGGGAGCAGGGGAAAAGGATTTAATGGATTGTATATTAGGAAGAATGGAGATTTGTGCTATTCTATCAGTATAATCAGATAGCACAGGCGTTGACTGGAATCAGACTGTTTTTGTCTTTAAAGTGTATCTTACCCCCACTGTGAAAAGATAACTCCACCCCAAGGTGAAATTTGAAAAATGCATCAAAGTGTGTAGGGGAGGGGGTGTGGGTAGGGGGGGGTGGTTAGAGAGCGGAGGTGTGGCCAGGACGAGAGAACGTGACAGCTAGCATTAGAATAATTGATGCTACATGGAGAGTGACCACAGCGACGCAGATAGTTATATCTCTAAACGGTCTGAGGTTGAGGATTTTTCACCCCCCTCCTCACCAGAGGCAGAGAGAGACTTGATCAAGTCAGCTCAGTCTGGGACTGACTCATGTTGGCTCCCTCGATCAGGACATGAAGCT